AGGTATAACGTGTGCATATTAGAATATAACCTTTGCCGATTGGTATATGTAAGGAAGGCTTGATAATCGTAAGTGTGGCCATACATCAGACATAAACAACAATGCACATGAGATTGTGTATCAACATTTAAATCAATGTGATCATTCAATCCTTTCTCTATTTGTGATTTTGAATCATCAAAGTAATATATACCACAGGACTTTCCATAATAATCTTGCAGCACCTCTGTAGACAAAAGGCAGACTACTTGATCCGAGAATTGGGAATTGCGATACCATAAGGTTGAACTGATAAAATTTTTCATTCTTTCATGCAGCCCTGTGAATGTGATGAATGTTTTCAACTCTGCTCCTCGAAGTAGACGCAGTCATGGTTATCGTCATTATTATATAAATAACACATAGCTGAGCGGGTGATAGAGCAGACTGTTACCCCGAGAAAACATTGTCAACTGAGGCGAAGCCAAGGTTGACAATGTCTTTCGAAGGGTAACAATCTTCTCTATCACCGTCTCAGATATGTGTTATTCAATTTATTATACTGAATGTTCTATTATTACTGTCTATCAAATTTCAAATTTAAAGTAATAAACTATAACGTCTTGTACATAACAATCATCCGCATTTATTAAAACGCACACTAGACCAAGCGTCTCCGTGAAGGGTAATAGAGTATTTGCCATGGGATAGATTAAATTGCCTCCTTCCTATTAACCAATCAAAATCTGGCATTTTGACATGAAGTATAATAAACATATATATCCTGCTCTCCTTGGTGTCTCTATTAATGATCTCCGTCCATTTATACAGAAGCCGTTAGGTATTCATCACATCCGCACGAAGCTTTATTTACTACCCCTTTCAAAATTCATTCTTTTTACTATGATACACGTGCACGTTCTAGTAACGCATTGAACGGCGTGGTTCGCATACATTGATCGGTTGTGATTTACGCTTGAGTTGTTAAGCGTAGCACGAGGTATTCAAATTGGATAAATTGATTATGTATCTATGTCATTTGTGTTTGAAAAAGGTGAAGTATTGGAGTATAATTTTATTTGTAATTATTTGGATTTTGTTATCGTTGAAATATGCCATTTGTTCCCCTGAACAAATGCAGAATGGGATAAAACAGGACTCCCTAAGTCTGTTTTCCTTGGCTGATTAGGGATATTGTATAACAGAGGAAATTTGAATAAAACAACTCATACATTTTACTAAAAAACAAAAAATCATTCTTTGTACAACTTATGTTTGGAAACCGCTAGTACTGTTACAAGTCCCCATTCAAACCAATACAATCTTACAGCTATCATCTTGGATATTGCAAGTCACAGACTGTTCAGACCGACTCGCATTGGAAAAGATGAAACGGAGAAAAGATCCATTCTAAAAGTTTCCTTTGCCAACATAGGTTTCGATGCTATCTACTTAATAAGTAATATCCTTTATCATTAATAAGTTCAATCGAAAATACCTCTCTTCTCTAAAAAATATTCTTTACCTATCAGCTCTTATACCTATACCAAACCAAATACTACTCGATTTTTTCACTACGAATACGTGTTCGTCAGGAACCCAGTTTTGACAGTTTTGACATACTCTAGTCTTAAACTCCTGACTGCACCATTTCCCCATTCATCTATAATCCGACTGCCCATGTTATTACTGGTTACCTTACATTATCAATAACACTTCTCTAAGAAATGTGTAATTCAAAGGCTTGAAATTCATATCGTGAGTCTAAATCCATCAATTGGAAACACAACTTTAAAATACTGAAATGATTCAGTCGATGATTATGATAGGCAATAGCTAATGACTAAGTGCGAAAAAGAAGACATAGACATCTTTTCGAATGGGTTTATTGCTATGAAGTCGTTGATACAAAATAGAATTTAAAAAAATGTAATGGGTCTATGTATACACATGCTACATCTTCAATGGCTCAAATGTTGCTAAGCACCTGTCCTACCTCCTGTCCATGACAAATGTGTGATTGTCCTCAAAGATTAATCCCCAAACAACATCGTTTTTGTGTGTACATCATATTAGATAAACTGTTTGATAAAGAAAATAGGTAATGGCAATTCACTAAGAAACTCAAACATATGCTCCCACGACACTTACAAAAGAGGAAATCCTGGATATTCAGAATTTAGGTCTGTTCTATATTCCTTTGGGATATCAACCAATTATGTTGAACTGGATATTTTCTTCATTTTATTGGATACCTAAATTACATAAGTGTCCTTACAAACATTGATAAATAGATTGGTCAACAAGTGCTCCACGAAACCCATTTCTAAACTATTGACATCAATTTTATCAGCAATCTAAGACAGGATTAGGAGTTATTGTGAACTAATGACTCTAGTGGCGATGTGAATCGGATGGAGATACTAACACTTCGTTCATACAGTCTTCGTCTCTTTCCTTTGGAATAGGATAAAAACATATGACTTATCTACCCTTTACAAAAGTATTCCCAATTCTTAACTCAGACAAATCACAGAAATTGGTTCTGCTTTGTTTCATAATAAAAAAATGGTCAAGAAAGATGCAAATATCCTGTTTTAGGGTGAAGGGAGACAAAATCAATGATTCAAACAAAAAATATTCTGAAACTGACATTATCAACATGCTTGATTTCTTGATTGACAATATATTTGTCACGTTAGGAGGACGTGTTTTCAACAAACAAACGACATTTCTATGGGAACCATGGCTTCTTAGAAAGAATGAAAAGAAGCTAGCATTATCCTTAAACTTCGTTATAATAAACACATCTATCCCATAGAACTTGAAATAAGGGATAAACAGATACAGATAAGTCTGCTTCATATCTTGACTTACATCTAGAAATTGACAATGAGGGTCGGTTGAGAACCAAAGTTTACGACAAAAGAAATGATTTCAGCTCCCTAATTGTGAACTTTCTATTTCAATGTAGCAACATTCCAGCAGCGCACGCATATGGAGTATATATATATCCCAGTTGATACACTATTCCAGAGTTTGATTTTCCTATCATGATTTGCTTAATAGAGGGGTTTTGTTAACAAAGAAGCTATTTAACCAAGGGCTCTAAGTGGTGAAGTTGAAGTCACCCCTTCGAAAATTTTGTAGATGCCGAGTTGGTTGACCGTTTTGGATTATCTGTTTCACAGATGACGACGAATATGTTCCAATTGTCGTAACCAAGATGCGTCTTTTTTCTCGAATGTGACATCACCGAATTAGATTTATCACAGAATGTGTACTTACATGAGCAACACGACGGTGCCACGTGTGAAGGAGAAACTGTTTACCATTTCGGAGCACACGAGATCACCCCTAGTTTTATTTTAAAAGAGTTCGTGGTGCTCTTACTTTACTTTTAAGTTTGTCATGTGCGCTTTTTAATTTAACAATGTCTGTCCTCTTTATACCGGTAACAGTCTTGTCTTATCTTTGTCATGAAATACGTGTTTTAATTTCAACATTTCACATTCAGTCAAGTTTTATGCTTACAAAATTTATGACCGAATTTGGTGATGTATCATGGTTAGGAAAAATTCAATTACCAATCCGTTATTGCATGCTGCTCACCACTTAATATAACTTATCAACGTATTTTATAGGAGTAACACGACGGGTGTCACATGTGGAGCAGGATCAGCTTACCCTTCTTGAGTACCTGTGATCATCCCCGGTTGTTGGTTGGGTTCTTGTTTCTTATTCTTCTGTTTTCTATGTTGTGTATTTTGTAGACTGTTGTTTGTCTTTTGGTCGTTCTTCGGGGTTTTTTGGCCATAGTGTTGTCAGTTTATTTTCGACTCATGAGTTTGAATATCACTTTGGTATCTTCCGCCTCTCTTTTTAAAATGTATAACAAAAATACCGAAATTAAAAAGGGAAAGGTCCACAAAAACTGACAAAATCATCGTAATGAACCAACTGAATTAGTGAAAAACAACTATCTTCTTCCCAAACAGACATAATAGTTAAATGTGACAATAATTGGATCCAGCAGCCAAAACTGTGTAATATATATAACTGATATGACGTGTAACAAAACTGATTAAAAAATTCAAACAAATAGGTGTGCGATGTGTAACAACATTTGAGATACATAAATATATGTGCGGCGTTAAAAACATTTTAAGTGTATAAGTACAAGAGCGATGTTTTACTACATTTGGGATAAATATATGAACGAGGAATATCTTAATATACCATCTGGGGACAGTCATGCGTAATATACAGTTAATTGAAAAGTACTGTTAAATTGGTGGGAATTACTGTAATTGCATGCTCAACGCATCAATAGGAAACTGGTTGTTTGGGATGATTTCCCTAAAGTGAGTGAGTATACAGATTCTGACTTTTGTGGTAGGATTGCAAATAAAATCATGTATCACTGACTTGATAGCTATACTGTTAAGCTATCACGCAGTCCTCTTCCCTACTTTTGTGAGTAAAAACAGTATAGTGCAGTGAGGTGAGCATATCTTTAGATCATAGTCATTCCTATGTTGTTCAATTTGTTAATAATATTTGTAGATATTCAGATATAAATCTTACAAAATGATGTGTATGTATGTAACCATAATCAATGTTTGAAAAAATTACATAAGTTGCAGAAATGAGTGGATGGCGTATAAATCTATCTGTTTTACCAACAGTTAAAGACAAAGAACGATAACTCCATTTAAATATTGTCTAAATGTTTTCCTATGTTTAATACAATATAATGTTTCATCATATATGTTTAGTTAACGATGCAAAATTAAAATATTTTGATTGGGAATTTTTGTTAACTGTTCTTGTACATATGTTCAGTTGATTTTTCCGTTCAGTGATCACTGTACCACTCGACAAACTAGGCTATATTAAATATTGCCTTTGTAGGACATATTTTATACAATCCTATATTAAGATTATGATAAAAGTACAATAAAAAAAACAGTTGAGGGAGTATTGGCTCATTTTACGAAAAATAATATATGTAACACTGATCATTATTCTATACATCTTTTATTTGCAAATATACTAGTAAATAAGATGTGTCTTTTTTTCAACCCCTTCGTATATAAGTATATATGATTTAAACAATGAAATCATTGAATTAAAATTGAATTTGGATATATCACAACAGAAAAGTAAAAAAAAAAACAGTACTAAAATGTTTCTATAAAAGAAATATAGTTTACTACACGTTAGCAAAAGGGAAAATATATCGAGATCACAAAATTACAAACGCAAATAACACAATAACACAAAAAATCATAAACAAAAAAATAACTATGCACTGTCTAATAATTGGAAGGACGATAACAAACATTAAATAAGCAAACACAATTGTTTTGAATAGTCATCTTGTCTGCCAAAGAAAGGACGTTAACAGGCCTAAACAATTGCATATGCTGTTAGAAGTATACATAGAAAGGAAATGTCAGTGAACATCTCGACATATTTCAAAGACAAAAATAACAACAAGTGATGGTCTCCGTATGTAATTCTATACAAAAAGTTGTGGCACTAGCACGCAAAGGCAATCACTTTGTATTTATGTCGTTGAAATATTTTGAGACTATCCCTTGCAATTCCTTATTTTATTAATATTGCCGAACTATTATCCGTTATGGTGAATATAAAAGACTTAATAGTGACACATCGAATAAGATGAGACATACACATATATGTAAGCATATGTCGGTTTAAATTTTGATATTTCATTTTTTTAAAATTCAAATCGTCACATTTGTCTTTGAGGCTGATGTGACTATATATATTAGTCACTGTAGAAAGGGATTATTGCGTATTTTCTTTACACAATAACTAATCACACAATTTCAAACATCGTCCTAAACATGTATGAAATATTCCCACTGAACTAGAAAAAAATTGATAACCACCAGCCAACAAATACAGCAAACAGCAGTTTAATAGCTACAAAGCGGCCGGTGAACGGAGCAGATATCGGTCATTGTCCAGTGATTATTTTTGTACAAGGATAAAAAAAAATAGCCCAATTAGAAGAAATCTTTAAAGTTACGTGATATCTTACTACTTATAACTATAAAAAATAATCTCAAATCAAAATTTCACTAACGCCAAATAGATAACCGCTTCACTTCAAACTTAACGTGATTTTTCCCGTCGAACCATCATGACTGTTTTACTCCCTACATAACTTAACAGTAAAGTATAAAAAGGATTATTTCTGAAAATACATTTCATATGTTCAAGTTGAATACAAAGTACTTCTGTGATTTTATATTTGATGTAGGAGAAGGTAATATTTATAATTTTGAACATAAGAAATCTGGGAAGCATATAATTCCCACTCTCAGTATATCCGGAACTAATGGTTCTCGAATAAGTTTGGTAGGTTTTTCAACATTTGTATGTACCTATTATGAAGAGAAGATGAATTACGATTTTCATATATTCACTATTAACAGTTCTTGAACTCGATGCAACAGTACATGAGTAAGACAACACTAGTTTCTTGTACAAATATGTAATGAATACATTGATATTGTGTTATTTTTAAAACATTTTATGACTTGAAGTCATGGTCAATTTCCTGGATAGTAAAATCATTGGAAGGACGACATAGGGATGGACAGTGTTTCTCTTAGCCCTGTGACAATTTTAGAGGCTTCAAGATATAGACTTCTCGGTACAAAGTATTTCCTCTTTAAAATAAAGCTTAAAAACATCAATAAATGCAGTGTTGGATGGAGTGTGAAATTTCCAACAAAGCAGAAAAAACAACCAAAGATGATACATGAAATGAATGAAGACAAATTCGGGTTATTAAATCCAAAAAAATAGATTTTATTTCAAATCAAACTGAATCAATCACAAACAATTTGAAAATTCCGGTTTTGAGAACATATGAGAAAAAGTAGAACGAAATATTATGGCTAATATAGTTGATGATCCTTTTTATGAAAATAGAGACCATGACAGAGTTGTTGCAAATCAAATCAAATCAAATCAAATTATCTATTGGTATAAAATACAAATATTGGATTGTTACCAAGCCATAAATGACATACAAATGACAATATAGATAAACATACAAAATTCAAAGTTAAAAAACATTCATAGTATATAAGTATATCATATATTTATATATTTTTGAGAAGGTGATACTTTTGCAAATTTGAAAGTAAAAGTATAATATTCTAAATGAGATTATTATAAAATATAATAAAACAGTTATACATGTAATAAAAATAATCACAAATGTGTATAACATACTTAGTTACATCCACTTCATTTGAACTTTGGTGGATAGTTGTCTCATTGGCAATCATACAACATCTCCTTATTTTTATATAAGTACATATAAATCATTTACCGCCTTAACAATAACTTTATTTATGTCATACTCTTAAAATTTGATATTTTAAACCTTTTTTACAGAAGAGACCTACTCTTTTTTCAAGGGGTAATTTACGATGTATACCCTGTTCAATACTTAAATTAATATTACTTAATCTTATCTTTATATAATTAGATGTATAGATGTCTACATTTATCAATAAAAAATAATTTAATTTGTAATCATTTTTTGTAATTTCTGTACATTTCTACGTTCTTAGTTTGTTTCCATTAGGGTTTCATGATGAGGTGCGTACACTGGTTGATTGTTAAAAAAAAACGATTAAATTATACTACTATTATCCTAGATTATTGAGTGTCATTATATAATTCCTTGATTATTTTCGGTTGATATCTCATTGACCTGTACTCTACATCCTTTTTTACATAAAAAAAAAATAACTAGATGATAACTTGTTGATATATTATTTCAATAAAGCATGTAATAGTTTTTAGTTTTATAAAAAAAAAAAAAATTTTGCTAAAGCAATATTATATTTGTCATTGTGGGTACATCACGTGTAAATTAAGGTTCAACAAATAAATGTTTCCATATTTATGGAAAATATCACAACACTGTAAATTATCTTCGTGTAGCTGCCTACTGAGTGAACCACTGCTTGGGGCCATAGGTTTCAAATGTACGTTTAAGTTCATTTCGTAGATTTAGTTCACCTCGGATATGTGTTCAGAGGAAAACTTTAATTCTGGATGTAATACCGACTCTACATTGAGGACAATTTGTCAGTGCGGAAGAACACTGCAAACATGATGAGAAATGTCCACATGGCATAATCACAACATTCGCGGAGTTATCCATACAAATCTTACACATCAAAGTTTCTCTAAGTTGGTGAACTTCTTGTTCTAAAAAATAAAAATAAAAAACCATTGTAAGTTCTGTTTTTCGTTTTTTGTTTCTTGATTGATTTTGGTATTTTTTGTGAACAAAATACTTTTGGAGGACAATTTGTTAAATTGTAGACCAACTCTAAAATCAAGGAATAAGAAGTTTTTCGAATAATATAGACAAGAGCAATTCCTCGTTAAATATACTAGAATCATAGATGTGCTTTTTTAGCATGTGCTTCTTTTTCGTATGTTTATATAAGAATGTGAAAGTCTTAGATTGCTTTTACAAGAAAAACTGGAAATCCAATATATATAACACTGTCATCGCTAAAAATCAATTATGAAAATGTTTATTCACTACTTCGTTCTTCATTTACTCAATGTTACATACCAATACGCTGAATGTAGCTGGGAGTTCTTTCTTCCTGAGACTGGTCACCCAGATGGATATCTTGTCTTTGTTGTGTTGTTTCTTCTGCTGTCTGATTTTCAACAACTGTCAAGTCAAGAAGTCTATTTGTGAGTTGGTTAATATCAACAGTTCTTAATCCACTGTTTGTTTCGTGACATAATTGGTATGCTCTTTGGATTGAATCCATGTCATATCCTAGATTAAGAACTAACTGGATATCAGCTGCCAGTCTATCTACCGTCTCGTTTGAAATAGGATCATTTGATCTTTCATCCTAGAAGGAAAACGCCTATTAATTTGTAGTTTATTATTTTATTGTGTGATATTTACAAATAAATTTGTCATTTTTCATTAATTATTAAACATTACAAAATTATATACAATTAAAAAATGATAGGCACACAAACAGAGACAAACAACAACTAACAACACATGGTCCATGTAGCCTGACTTAGTACAGACACAAAATATTGTCTGTATTGTATCATATATTTATTTTTTCCATGCTGACTGAATTTTCATTAGAATACTTACATGATGGTTATGACTTCTTGGTTGTTGAAGGAAGCTACAGCTAGGTGATTTGAGACTATGTTCTGTTAAAGGGTTTTGTCCCTGTTGCCAGTTCTTTATCAAAACTCCACAAGTAAAGCATCTTACGTAGTCTTTATGGCCTACATAATAGTGTTTTACATGTCATTTCCATAATTTTATATCTTCGTAAAATTGTATAATTGCTTCACCATTTATTATACTATATTTACAGTCGGTACATGCACAGGCACTTGTCTTGTTGAAAAAAAATTTCCTATATACCTTATACATAACATTTTATATTAAGGTATATAAGACTTTTTTTTCAGAGACAAGTGCCTGTGGGTACATGTATTCAATTCATACAAATGCGGCTGATCACTATCAGCTGAAAACGATTCATTTCATATGGATTAATACTGCTTTCGTCTCACTACTAGGGAATTTCTACCGCAGTTTTGTGTTTAAAGTTTTACTTTCAGATTTACATTGTAAAATTTTCATTTTGTATAAGTTTTCAGAAAATAGCGTTCGATTCAATAGTGAAACAGTTTCAGCAAAAAATTACACATATGTAATTGATTAAGATAAAAAAAAATGTAATAATAGAACTTAGCTATATCTAAATACTGATTATATTTGAAAACTCCTGAATTAACTTAGATTTTTTAAATTCAATTCAAACGGAAAATTCTTCTATTTCTATTTAAGATTTTGTAAGTGTAAATTTTGATTATGGTTGCCCATAGCATTGTGTACAGTAGTACTTATGATGAATAATAAATAATTGGTATTTTACTGCAAAAATCCAAGTCTTTGATTTACCAATGATCAAATATGAAAGACAATGGAAAACAAGGTCAGTTCACCCAATGCTTTATTCAATTATTTATTTTAGATTTTTAATAATTTTTATATATGATGCCAAAAAGTTATTGCCTCTAACATGTTTAATGAATATTTGTCCTTTGTTTTATATGAAAAGTAGTCTCATTGGCAATCATACCACTTCTCCTTATTTTTATATCTGTTAAATTTATCCACAACCTCTTCAAATATTGTATAATAGTCGTTTGTCTTGTGAAGACTTATTTTGACATTGAGATTTTCCGTTTTTTTTTTTTTAATATTATTATTTTGGTAGATATCAAATTTTCCTCATGGTAATTCAAAAGGGCAAATGAATATCTGGTACAAAACAGTCATAAAAAGCACAGCACAATAAAAATATAAAGAAATATTATTTTCTTACCTGCATAAAAAAATCCTGCTTCCGCTAAGTTAGTAATACTTTGTCCAGTTGGAATCTGGGAACAGTTAAACGATTGTTTTCTAGTAATGCATGACGAATATTCTCTGTGTTTGATGCCTTTCCTATGATGTCCATTCTGTTGCCGTTGAGGTCTAGTTCTCTACAATTTAAATTTTTTTTTTTTTTTTCATCAGAGAAAAATAAACTTATTTTATAAGTTAATAATGTTGTTGCAGTGTGATGGTGCTTTGAACAAATTTGAAAAGTATGTTTCTAATTTCAGTAATTTTTTTTTTTAATTCATTTCTACTTACATCTAAAAATCCCATATTTCCTTTTTATTTAGTGGTGGTTGCATTCACGAATTATTAGCATTATAACTTTGTTAAACTATTATCGCTTTTATACAAGGTTCACCTCTTCTGATTTTCTTGTTTCCAAAAATAGAACGAAAATCCCTTTAACTAAATATAGATGGTTTCTCCGTATTAAAAATAGATGCCGTGTTTTTTTCATCTATACTAGGATTACACCATTCCAGGCCATTTTGATTCCACATAATTAATATTACCAACAATTAACACAGTTCCGAGTCGAATCTGATACCGATACATTGACCAAAATTATATATATGTGTATTTTATTATGTCACATGTAGTTTCCGGTTGTAGTCTCGGTAGTCTCGGTTGTAGTAAGAAACCAGGACGGGTTTAAACAAAAAGATTTTGAAAGCAGAGAAAACTGTGCACTTTATAATCAGCATATATGAATGCATCAACCATTCCACACTGACAAATAGATCAAAACAAGACTAGAAGTTCAATATATACCAATAAGCACGGATAGCCAATGTTAATAATACCTCTAAAACTATAAATTACCGTCTTATCAAGGAAACATACCTTTCGCAAATATGTTAAAATTCTTTGAGATACAGATATTTTCACATTTTGTAGATTTAGAACTGAAGCATAAACACATACTATGGAGAATGGACGATGGACAAACATTCCAAGATAGTATAGAAAATGTCGCCTATGTAAAAGTGACGTATAGGCCGCGACGAAAATCCTTATCTCATGATAAACCCATCTTTTACAGAAAAAAGGATGAAATACTATAAATTGTAATGTTCTCAAATTCAAAAGTCAAATGAACATGTCAAAAATGACTGAACTAAAGAAACTCCGTGTATTCATAACAATCATTATATGCACTAGAGAAATATGTACGCTCTCAAATCATTGAATCACCGGAAACTGCAATCAATTTTTCACTATATTTCCACTACAATGTATATAATAATTCACATTCTACCTCACAACTGTACAATTGTATCATTTTCTATTGTTGTATTTTTCTGTATACCTTTATATCAACATGCTTTTTTATTATCAAAATAAAACGTAAGTATGTTTTTTTCCGATTTTTCAGATGTTTTGAAACGTCTTCTATAAATGCATTAAAGTTCGAAAACCCATCCTATATTACGTTTATACTTCGCGACTTAACGAGTAATTTAAAATTATATTAGTCAGTATTTTGAATTAAAAAAAATCCGCACTTCACATTCAAAGCAATATTTTCATAAATAGGCCTACGTCCTTTTGGGAATAGTGTGGCTTAGGTTAGGAGACATTTAAAATAAAAACAAACAAACATGGGAAAAAATATAAAATATTGCAGATGATGCGACTTGGTTTTTTTAATTAGTAAATGAAGTCAGTTTAGGTTTTGGTTTTTCTTTTTAATGATGAAATTGGATTACATTTGTGATTTAAGGCATTCGATATTTGCTTTCAATTAGCATTAATGTTGACATTTTTCTCCTTGCTTTACATAATTTAAAAACAATTCAGTCACACCTAGTTCTTTTTATTAAGAAAAATTTCAATAGTATTGCATGTGTAAACATGAAAATGCATATTTAAGTAAATTATACATATAGTCTATTTAAATTTTTACGATCTACCTATAGATGATCATAGATAGAAGTGAGCGAACGTCTTGACAATTGTCAACGACGTATGTACATATTTTAAATTAATATAAATTGGTTTTTTTAAATGCTGATTGTAAACCACCCTATATCGTGGAGGATAATCTAGACCATAGAGTACTGAACAGTTCCTGAGGAAAAGTATTTGGAAAATCTTTTATCATGTCATGTAACATGTCAAGACATGATAATTATATCGTGATAATGTTATACAACAGTCTGGTTACATGGAATTTTTGTCAATGTAAATTTGTTCCGCCTAACAGAAGTTCCATACACAATACCAAAATATATGTTCCTGTACGCATTTTTTCCGCTATGAACAAATACATGTAGTTATATTTGTTCCAGTGGAAATAATATTCCAGAACAATTCTTCCATATTATAAAGGAACTTACATTTCATGACTTCTTTAAATAATAGATATTCTAATATAAGAAAGTTCAAAATATAAAATATATGAAATCAATTCAATTCAAATATTGTCGATCGATATCATTTAAGCCAATCGTAAAGTCATAAAAATCATTGCGACAGAGGCCAGAGTTTAACTTTCAGTAAAAATTGTATAGTTTGATCTGCGAATTTAAATCAACAGGTATATCACTTATATTTTATAACAGAAGCTGCAAATAGAGTGAATTATAGCATGTATATATATGACAGATACTGTGTAGCGGGAACTTAACAAACTATTTATAGAATTACGGATTTTTATTACTAAAAAGACGTCAGGTAAATCATGATTTCGTTGTCACAAACATTTAGTCTACAGTTTAAAATATGTGTAAGCTAAAAAATATAAAATTATATTAACAAATGTTTTGAGCTATTAATATATAAGTATATACAAGCGACTTTTTTTTCAAATGGTAATGTAAAAAAAAAACCCAAAATAAATGTTTTGTAACTTATTAACTATAGTTTAAGTCCATATAAAAAATAACGCTTAGTTCAAAACATGTAGGTTGTCACCGAAAGCAGATCGATTATGATAAATGCATGTTAGATTAACAAACGTGATTAAAAACGTAAAAAGAGGTAGAATATGTATACTCAAAATGAGGAGAATCCAAGTTCGTCGACAGGGTATCTTTGATCTACATGAATTACCCATCGTTTTATTTCAAAAAAATGAAAGCATACTTTAAAGTAAATACGATGGTAAAATGCATAACACTAAATACGTCAGTATGTCCAATGAACAATATCAGTCGTGTGGGATCTGTGGGAGAGTGAATACAGTATTTTGAGGTACTGTTACTATACTCCAGTCTTAAGTCAGGAGTAGCATCAGTTGTTGATAATCAGTTAGCGTGGGTAGGTGTTAATAGCAGATCTTTCCTTCAGTCTCTATTAATTTTATTTACTACTTTTTAATACTGGAGCAATTTAAAGTTTAACACTTGTCTTTTTTTTTTATCTCTTGGTATCGGTTGGTTTTTATTTTTGTGTCGTGGTTGGGTTTCTATCGAATTGACATATACCCCATTTCTCTAACTCTTTGGCAATTTAATCCTTTGAGGACCCATTGTTTTAAAAAAAAAATATTAATCGACGTATGGTTGCCCATGATCTCAGTAGATAGTTGGCTAAGTTAAAAGGTCATAAGCCTTTATAAGCTTTCTCTATGAATCGAAATATCATGCTTATGTTATAATCATAGTGAAATTGACATCTTCGCAAAAATTTTACTACTCGGAAATGGTTTGACCTTCAGAAATTGTTGTTCAAGTTGTTTACTATTACATATGAATATGCTATATTTCAATAATTCAATGCTTTTGATTAAAAGTGTTCTTTTTATTAATGTTTGCTTCCATTTGATCGAGAGATGCATAAAATTAATGAAGTTTTTGCGCATCAATTTCGTAAGTGTATGATGTAGAAATTAGGAAATTTTGTGGAAGGCACTCGAAGGGGATTTCGTTTATCAAAAAATTTAAATTCATTCTATAATCATAAGAGAAACAGATTCTTTAAGTTTTATAGGTACTCGTGGATTATCGGATTTATCCAATCTCGATAGTTAAATTGACTTTAAAATCTACCTCGATTGGCTAAATCCGATAACCCACTTACTGGTACCAATGTAAGAATCTATATGTATTTAATGGAAATAAAACATCTTCTTCTTCTCTTTGTATCTCCTATTTAGTCATATCGTAATGGTGATTGGAGAGTTTGTGAGTTATAATTTCATTCGTTCATCCCCACACTGACCATCTGGATTACATTTTTAGTTCACATCCCCACGACCCTGTTGGAGTAGTTTTTTGGTGCACATCCCTACAACCCCGTTGTAGTAGTTGTTTAGTTCAAAGTACACGTTTGTGTGTGTGTTCAAAAGATAAAAGGGTCTTTATTATAAAAACGGCAGATGTAGAGAAAAACTTTGCGAATTCATCTCATTGTTCAATTTTCTACGTAATATAACATATTCAGTATTCTAGTTTTACCATCAGAATACAGTAGTGAGTGTAAATAGATTGTGTTCAATCACAGGCTCGGCTCTTGTCTCTAAAAAAATACCTAGTATATACCTTCATATATATAGGTAAAAAAAAATCAATGACAAGTGCCTGTGTGCTTACTGTATCTAAATAAAACTTTAAAGGTAATCTACACGTCAAATATAACCAGACTTGTTCCTTACAACAATATCAAATTGTTCGAAAAATAAGCCCTGATTTCAATTTAACATGGTTTTTAACAACTTATTTTAAGAACTTTAAAAGGCTTTACACAATTGCAATGTATTACTTTTAAAATTCCCAGTGCCAGATTTAAAAAAAATGTATTAACACATTTAGATCAAATAAAACATTGGTCGATGCAAATTCTCTTGTTTTTAATAAGATGTCTGACATGATTTAAAAAAATTATTTCTAGTTCCGAGGAAAACTGACTGTACATTTCGATTTCTCAGTCTATTTCTTTTTCTTTTGTTTTTATTAATTTTCATTGCTCTTAATTAGAAAAAAATGTAATATTATTTAGGTTGTCAAAATGGCAAAAAAAAATCTTTTAGATGTGTGGTATGGTTGTCAATGAGGCCACTACCCATAAAGATCAAAGGGACAAAGATGTAAACAATTACAAATCACCGTTTACGGCCTCGAGATCTAACCATTAGAAAAACCTATACCGTAAAGGCCCCGGGGAGACAAAATGTAAACTAGACAAAGTGATGCCCCCGCACTCCACTCTGAAGTAAAGTCAATGTAGAACTTTCTTTGAGATATTATTGTGTCTGGGAGACACAAATGATGCCCCCGCAGATGCAAAATGATATTTTGAAATACACAAAGTTGAGCATGGGAGCAAATAGGTCTATGGTTCCATGTAGGAGGCTATGGTTCACTGTAGGAGGAGTTATCCGGACACGCTATGCACCTCTTATGCAATTATATACTCCAAAAATGACAAA